CGAAAGGCACATCTTACATGGCAGCAAATGAGAGAAGTGAGAACCAAGTGAAAGAGGTTTCCCCTTATCAAACCATCAGATCTCGTGAGACTTATTCACTACCTGGAGAACAGTATGGGGAAACTGCCCCTATGATTCAATTATCTTCCACCGGGTCCCTCCCACAACATGTGGGAATTATGGGAGCAATAATTCAAGATGAGATTTGGGTGGGGACATAGCCAACCACTTTGCGTAAAGTAGCACTCCAGCAAGCTGCAGGTTTCTCTTCTGTCCTCTTCCCTGATTTGTTTTCTTCGTTGTGCTAAGCACTATCTAAAAATATTTATTTTTCATCTTTGTGTTTATTATCTGTGCTGCTCACCTAGAATAAAAGTTCCACAGGACCAGCCCTCTGCCTATTTTATACAATGCTGTGCCTCTGGCACCTTGCCACCTCCTGGCTGCTAAGTGTGTAAAGTATAAAATAAGTGATGAAGTAGTACAAATCTGGCACTATTTGGCTAATTTAAATACTGCTTCCTTAGTCTTAGTGAGGCCCAGTAATGAAAATAAACTAGCTGGTTTTGATGGGAGTAGCTCACAGGGCTTTTGGGTATCCAGTTTAAATGGGACTTCCTAACGAGATTTGCCACAGGCATCCAGAGCTAGTTAGTGTATCTTTCTAAAGTAGTTTTTAAGATTCCAAGATGTGCAAAAAGCCCAACAGTACAGACAACCTCCTTTGTTCTTTTAAAACTTTTTAAAATTAGCTGCTTAAAATGGTTTTTTCCACTGTTGGAAACCCATTCTCAAATATGGAGGCCTTCTACATCTCCATGGAAACAAGCAAGACCAACTGTTGAGCCATCCCTTTGGAGAGCCACCAGTTCAGTAACAGCTAAATCCTGCACCCTCCATTGCTAGTGTTCCTTTTATCAAGCCTTCTGGTCCATTCCAGAGGACCATAAGATAGCCTCAATTTTCCAGGTTTGTGGTATTTTTCATTAGCTTTTGACTTACAGCCACCCTTTTTCCAACCAGGGAATATCCCACTTCCTTTAAAGAAGCTACAAAGATGCTTTACTTGTTTATTTAGGAAGATCCCCTCAAATGAACCTGATCCAAAATTACAGGGCCTAGAAACATTTTCTCAAGTGGCATGACTGATGCTTCTGTGGTGCTCCTGGGATGGGCAGATGCAGGAGTGGGAGTTGGGCTGAGGAGAGGCAAGTTACTGGGGAGGATGATGACTCATGCTTTCCTTTCTGCTGTATCTCCAACAACACTGGATAACTGGGTTGTCATCCACAGGAAAAGCTTGGGAAGCCTTTATGTGACTGCCTGTCTTGGCCTTACATATATCTAGTGGCAATTGCTGAGCTCTTATTAGGAAAACCTAATGGCTTCTTAACATCAGCTACTACAGAGATGGTTCTGCATACCCTCCTAAAAGAATACTCCAGTCCACATCAGGATTTCTAATCTGATTTTAGAAAAGTACACAGAAATCATGTAAGCATTTTCCCCTTAGTTATGAGCAAAATAGTGGATTTTCCTTGCCCAAAACATCCAAGTTAGTCTGTCCTTCTAAATCCATGACAGGATGTGTTTAGAGTAGGAATTGCCAGTGAATAATACCTCAAAGTTACCTGGTTTTTGAAAGATCTGTTACTACTTGTAGAAATGTTTAAGGTTCTTATTTATCCCCATTTATCAATAATAGACTAAGAAATTTTAAACAAGTATGCTGGCAATTTCCAGTTCTGGCAAATAAATACATTCAACGTATACCTCTTGTAAATGTACACTGTGTTCTGGATATGGAACCAGAACACACAAAGACTAAGAGCACAGCTCCTTGGGTTACAGACCCACGATCAGGGGTGACAGCAGATAGTGGAGGAGCAAATCCATGTTCACAGAGGGTACAACAAAAGAGGCTACTCTAGGTCCTCCCATTTCTGGCGTCCCTAAATTACCCATGTCAACACTTGATCTCCTAGGCTAAGGGTTATCAGCCTCTCCCCCAACCCACCCCATCCTCCTCTGACTTGTTCTATTCATCCTACTAAAGACATTTAAATTGATAACCAAACACCCATGGGCATTTACAAGAGGCTGTAGGTTATGCAGGAGATGTTGAAGACTCTCTGTCCAGGAGGGATAATAAGAAAAATGCTGTTATCTATTTGCTGGGGTGCCTGGAGTAGTTTACGTAAGACTGCTTAAGTCTTATGCCCTCTTTCCCCATGGGAGACTTACACACCCTTGTCACTCCAAAGTCTGCAGTGCCACTGCCACTCCCTGTCTCAGCCCTGCTGCTTAAGCATATGTCCACCCAAGGAATGCTGCTCCCCACCTTGCAGCACCCCTCATCTCCCTGGGAGAACCCTGTGGGCAAGAAAAAAAGCTTCCAACTAGGAGCACCCCCTCACTTGCTCACAAATCCACAGGTGACTCTTCCTTCTCCCTCCCCTGTCCTCCTGCCCATCACTTGTGGGAGGCTCTCTGTGGAAAGTGGTGGCCACAGTACCTGGGATGGTCAGTGAAAGCCCCACTCACCATCCTGAAACAGAGAGGATTCCCTCTACACAAATTGTGATTCAGCCTTTACTCTCTCATTCAAAAAACAGGACTAAGTTCCAGTATTTGATAGTACAGTAGGGAAACTATAGTTAACAATAATTTACTGCATACTTCCAAATAGCTAAAAGTAAAGATTTAGGATGTTCTGAACACAAAGAAATTATAAATGTCTGAGGTGATGGCTATGCCGATTACCCGATTTTATCATTACACATTGTATACAGGTTTCAAAATATGCCATGTACCCCCAAAATATGTACAATTATTATATATCAATTAAAATGTTTAAAAAAGAAATACAAATGAAAGTAATTTTTAAATAGTTCTATTTTAATTTTTTGAAAGAAATCACTCATGAGCTTTTGTATTTTAACTCTTATTAGTAATGGAATTACTTACAATGCCACTTCACCAGAGTTGAGAATTTCAGACACAGGGAAGTAGCTGCCAGGTCTCTAAAATTAAAATATAAGTAAATAAATAAGGGGAGGGGCCAACACGATGCTACCTGAGTACATTAAAAGTGGCTAGTTTGCCACTTAAAGATACTTTTAAAGTACCATCATTACCTTCTACCATTGCCATTATTACAAAAAAGGACATTTTGACAAGAAAAAAGGAAGACTACAACCTCAGAATAAAATGGTAGTTCTTTGTATCTCAGAAAGAGCAGGTCAGTCTTTAAAAACTGAAACTCTACCTTTACAGGGAAATGCTGGAATTGTTTCTACCTCCCCATCTCACTGTACACCTCCAGAAGCCCTGGAAAAGCAGTATTCTGAAGACAGGTCTTGGAGAGCCACTTTGGTTCTCTGTCTCAGCCTAAGGATGAACAGGTTGCTTTTCTTTAAAAATGTGACACTCATCTCATAGCATCAGGAGCCATGAAACCCTATGGCAGATCAATTCAAGGTCACCTACAAATATAGGATGACCTAGTACAAGAATGGTGCACCTGTGCCCACCCAGATTGCATTTCATTCAGGTTGAGGGTCTGCCCTGTGACCTTTGGCTTTCCAAGCATGAAGGCTCACAAAAATCAGAACATGAAGGCTTACCCTCACGTTTATTCATCTTGAAACCTGTGAAACCTGTTTAATAGAATGCTAAAAACTATCAGTCTGAGCACAACTTTTCTTTTTTTTCTTTTTCAACTTTTATTTTAGAATCCAGGGGTACATATGCAGGATTGTTACAGAGGCCTATTGCATGATTCTAAGGTTTGGGGCATGACTGAACCCATCTTCCTGGTAATGAGCATTATCCCTAATTGGTAGATTCTCAGGCCTTACCCTCGTCCCTGTCTCCCACCTCTAGCAGTCCCCAATGTCTCCTGTTCCCCTTCTTATGTCCATGAGTACTAAGCTCCCACTTACAAGAACAGGGAATATTTGGTTTTATTTCTGCACTAGTTCACTTAGGATAATGGCTTCCAGCTGTACTGATGTTGCCTCAAAGGGCATGATTTCATTCTTTTTTATGGCTGCATAGAATTCCATGGTGTATATATACCACAGTTTCTTTATCCAATCCACCACTGATGAACACCTGAGCTGATTCCGTGTTTCTGCTATTGTGAATAGCAAGAGCACAACTTCTTAACAAAAAACAGTCTATAGTCTATGGAGTTGACTTCCTCATGTTCACTATTTTGATTTTGAATCCAGGAGCAGGGAGAAGAGGAAGGTAATGCTTTTTACTTCATTCCTGACACCAACATCCAGCTTTTCATTTGTCAGTACAATGTCGACAGTTTATTTTCATGATGGAAAAGACTTATGATTTATAATCAAACTGCAGCCAAACCATCCATTCCCTGACCTTTTAAAATGATCTTGTAAATTACAGCAGCAAGAAGGGGAGAATGAGCTGGCTCCTTTTAAACAAGAGCAACAACCAGGGAAAACAGCAAATGTTTCAGGAAGAATTTGGGCTTCCTTCAATGGCAGTTGGGGGAAATATAGATTAAATACTTTTCATAACTGGCAACTGTAATAATTATCAGGAAAATTTGAGGCAGTGTGATTTCTGACACAGTTGTATGAGCCATTTTCATACTGCAAAGTCCACTGAGGGAAAGAAAAGATAATTTTATCCTTCTAATAACTATAATTTTATATTGGTAAATCAAGCATAAAATTGGTAGTTGAAATGCTTCCAGGAATCTTTGTTTTGAAATACCTTTATTCAGCTGTATATTATCTCAGAGTCTAGCTTTGCTAACTACTATCATTTCAGGAGATAAAGTGTTCTGTTTGCCATGTTACTCTTACTGTCTTCAGAATGTGCTATTATTGAATGTTTGTTGATGGCTGGTGGAAATGGCAAGACCATAACTCAGTCTGGCAGAACAGTCACTGGGGTTAGATAGCATTATTTAACGAAGACTGTTTGCCTTTGAATAATTTCCAATGTTTGCCTTTTTAATTCAGGTATCATATCAACGTTTCTTCATGTCCATCCTTTCGGAGCCAATATAGAATATCTTTGGTCATACATGCAGCAACTGGACTCCAAGGTAATTATTTTGCTCGAGTGAACTTTCATTGCTAAAATTTAGCATGTTGATTGCTGGCTGCAGGTGGACTCTTCATGAGTTGCACTAGGGATGTAACAGCCTCTGGGAGTTTATCAGCCCTTCTCTTTTACAATGACCTCAGTTTTTGGCAGATAGTTCTCTACTTTTTGCTTGCTTTTGTCTTTGTAGAAAGAAAAGCAGTTATCCAAAATGATAATGACTTTCATCAGATGCCAAATTAATTTGAAAAGCTTATGAGAGATTTAAAAGTATGAGTTCACCTGAAAGTTCCCAAAATAAGGGTGAAATCAGGTGAGAGTGGCTAATAGGGCATTATCCTTAGACCATATTCTTATGGGATTCAATATTCTGGACTTCACACAATTGAGGAAAGATCATCCCAAATAATACACAGATCTTCTATGACTCAAGAAGGCTGTATTAATGGCTGTTTTTCAGCATTGTTCTCTAAGTGGAAAAAAGTGACTACAAAGTTCTTCTCAGCTGTACCCCTTCAGGCTCACATCCAGAGGCAGACATCATTCCTCACCTCCCTGAAGCTCAGTTTTTCCCATCTGCAGATGAGCTGTACTCCTAGCCCATTGCAGTATTTGTATGCCCAAGGAGAAGGGACAAAAAGAATATGATTTGTGTGTCAAATTCATATGAACAAAGGGAAGGGCCCCGTCAAAATTAAACAACATCATTAACCAATACTAGGGAAGCCCAGAAGCAGGGTGAACACAGAAGCAAAACACAGAAGCTAGAAAAGCCAGTGAGTCGCCTGTCAATTTTTGTCCTGAAGGAAAATGGAAATAAGTAAGAAGGTCCTCCATAGAGCACAGAAAAATGCATGGGATTGGTACAACCAGACCAGCAGCCTGCAGTGCTATGTCCCTGAACAGACACAGATAAACCATGCTCAATTTTCAATGGCTAGCTAGCATGCATCGAATGACTACCTTGTGTTCTTATTTTGATTCAAATAATCTTCCCAATACATGATCCCAAAACTGTTTAACCTCTTAAATGAATCTAACTTCCCCTTTGAGAGGAATCTTCGGTCAAACAGACTCATGCCTTTTATGACAGAGTAGAACAAAACAGGGTGAAAGGAGTTAGAGGATTTTTAAATTCTTGAGGTTCAGAATCATGTTGTTTTCTCTGTGGTTTCCCCTTTAACATGAAAACGTTCCTGTTAAACTCAGATGAAATGAGAAGGACTTGCTGCACAATGTTCCTTTGCTGTAATTCAGATTTGAAGGATTTCTCTGCTGTTGTTTCCCCTTCACTAGTACCATTGTTCCTTAATATCACCGCCACCTTTGCCTAGAGGATTAAACAAAACACTGCTTGCACCACTGTGTTTGGCAGAGAAAAGGCCCTTAAGAAATGATTCCTATTGTTGCTACCATCCTTCCCCTGTATTGTTGACATTTCTGTTCTCTTTCTGGAAGTCCCAAGTGGGATGTCTTTGTTGAGAAGCGGTTGTTGTTTTAGTAGGAATTGAAATAGCCAAGAATCCACTTGTAATTTTTATCAAAGAATTTCAGGAGTCTGTTTTCTCCACGCCATCATCACAGGCTGACATCTATGATGATCACCAGTGAAGTGTGTATGTGCGTGCGCACGCGCGTGTGTAAAATCATCTCCTAGGAATGGGAAGGGATTGATAAATAATGAATTGATTTGTGGTGGGGGGGAGGTGTGAGAGTTCTTGTTTTATTCTTATCCTCAGGGCTCAAGGAATAGATTTGTGACTCCCTTATCAGTCTCTGAGGAGAGAGAATTCATATGCCTGGTCACTGGCCATTAGATGATGGGCCTTACTGGATGGGATTCAGTAAAGGGAATTGCATCTTGTCAGACTGGTACTTTTATTTTGGAAGATGATGAAAGTATTTCCCTCACAGAGGAAACACATGAGGTGTCCCCTGTGTACCCCCAGATAGCCCTCCATCTCCTAAATGAAATGCCCAGCAGGGCTGTCAGGTTTCCTCCTCATGCCTAGGGTAGAAAGTATATTGAAAAGTGCTCTAAAACTGCTGGGGACAAGGGATCAGACCACATGTTCTTTCTATTCCATTGAAGCTGAGAGGATATTTAGACTTTTTAACCCAGAGAGCAAAATCCAGTGCCCACCCTGTACTGATGAGAACAGGGAAAGCAGGCTCAACCCAGTCCAATAAATGTCACTGTTGTTAGGATTTCCTGAAAGGCTACATATGGGCATACTAATGACTACAAATGGAAGGAATTCATTTAAATTATCCTGGGCATGTACATTGCACATGGCTTCCTAAAACCATATAGCCCCATAATAGGCTATTTTCCAGTTAAATATTATTCCTGCTCTTGATAATGACATTTGCATATTTCTCTTCTTGGTCTTTTCTAAGTTACCCACTCTCATTCACTCAGTTCTCTTGTATCAGAAACACTTGAAAAAGTCAGAAAGATTGATTCAGAGGAAGACAGGGCAAGGGCTAGGGGGGCGATGGCTTCTGAAGCTTTGCTGAGTCAAAAATCATGCCCAGAGCACAGCAGGCAAACTCTTCAAAACAGGCAACACTATCGTGAAAATGGTTTCTGATCAATGCAATCTTCTATGTCAGCCCCAGGACCCATCGGGCCCAACTTCTTGTCTGTCCTAAGCAGCCCAGAAGACACGTTTGACTTAAGCATTAGCATATGAATACTTCTTACAGTCAAGAGGAGGGATCTGTCTGCTCTTCCCTGTTTATCTATCCTTTAGGAGATGAAGGCTCAGTTTTACAAGTGTGTCTGGTTGCCCCCTCTACACACCTGCAGCTTCATTCCAAGGCCCACAGTGAGGAGAATTTAGTTCTGAAAACCAGACTCGGTGTAATGTGGCCACAGAGGTTTGAGGATATAGAAGGACCTGCTATTTTGGCACGACACCACCATGACCAGCTTGGGAGGTCATGGGCATGTGTTGCATTTCCCACCAGAGGGGAAAAATCACTTGCATGCTACCTCTGCAAACACAAAATTTAAATGTCTTGGCTATGGAAAGGAGATTCAAATCCTGCTTTAATTGGATGGCATTCTTTCCCAGGATCTAGCCAGGTGGTGAGGGTGGGTGAAAAGTTCTTAGTAGTGTTTGTGAAATTGCTCACCTGAAAGATCTTTAATAGTATGCATATTCTGGGGTTCTCCTTAAGAACAACCTGTCACAGTAATATCAACGAGTGATTCTTTAGACAGACTATAATGAATGTGTTTTTTAGATATTATGGCACTTCTGGAAAATATATGACAGCAGAGATAACAATACGGAAGTACTGTTACTCTTGACTACATAAAGAACAAAAAAGAAGTTGCACACCACAGTGAGAGAAGTTGGTAAGGTTGGCAGGGACCTAATGAATGCTGGGATAACTCATTGCTTTTCATGTACCCAGCACTGTATTAGGGACCAGACAAGAACAGGAGATGGTCAGTATACAAAAGAAATCTAAGTTAGAACCATGTTCTCAACAAGCTTGTAGCCCAGTTATGAAATAACTTGGGAATCAGAGGTGAGCTAATGAAGTGCTAAATTGGGTAGGGAAGATACTTTGTGAGACAGGAGTTAGAGAAGGGTAAAGTCTGTGAGAGTCATGATTAATAGTAAGGTATCCTCGAGTCCATGCTTCTTCTGGTGGCTTTCCTCTGGAATGCTTTAGCTAACATTGCTACATTTATTTCCTTTCTCTTCTTTCTACCCACCCTTTCTTCTATCCTTCCTTCCCTCATTTTCCTTCCATATTCTCTTCTCCTTTTAATTCTCTCCTGTTTATCTTCTTTTATCACTTTCTTTTTTCCTCCCCTCTTCCCTTCCTCTACCAGTTTCTTGCTTCACTCCTTTGAATTCCTGACTTGTTATCTTCTTTCCTCTTTTCCTTCTTTCTCCCTTCCTTCCTTCCCTCCCTTTGCCCCATCTACGTTTTGTATTTCTCTGTGAACATTTATTGCAAGGTGTCTGTGTGTGCCAGCACTATGCCCTGCCCAGGATGTGAAGTATGAACAAAATTTAAATGTGCATTGAAGGTGCAAAGTCAGTTTTGCCCATGTAATGAAGTCCGGTTTTCAAATGGCTTCCCTGATGCTCCGGCCTCTGCCAGTCTTTTCAGTGCCCCAAATTGGAGCCCCGCTTCACCGGGCTTCCCTTGCCTGATGATGTGGGATCTGGAGCCAACCATGATGACAACAAACTGATTTGCATCTGCTTGTGTCCATTTGTACATGTGCTTAGAGACCGGGCCAGGAGGCAGCGGGCTTGGCCTAGAGTCAGCAAATTAGAAAATAAATCAGGCAGATTTTATAAACGACCTCTGTGGTGTTAACACCACACAAACTCCTTGGTTACACAGAGCCTTTTTTTTCCTTCTCATGTTTGCTTGCTTTTTTTTTGTAATTATAGCAAATAAATCCTTCCTAAAAGTGTAAGAAAGTTTCACAAAAAAGAGGTAGAAGAATCCAATGACAGTATCAAACATTGAAAATATATAAGTCACAAATTTCTTGGAAAAAAAGCCAGCTGGGTAAGAGAGTAATCAAAACTTCAGGGTTATGGCTATCTTCTCCACTTGCTAGAATACTAAATGCATGGTATATGGGAAAAAGATTTCATAGTCATGGCACCTGTCTCTAACCTCTATCACAGTGCTGCACAGTGGTCTCTTAACCACGTGTATTACAATCTCCTCATGATACGCTTGGGAGTGAGGGACTGCATCGCTCTGAAAGCAGGGCCAGATTCAGAGGCCCTGTTCCAAATTCTACCCCTTCACTTACCTGCTAGGCAAGCAACAGCTTTTCCCTGAACCCCAGGGCTCCATCTGTGAATAGGAACAGGAGCTTAGAGAGAATCCCTGGTCTCAGAAGTGATTCAGGGAAGTGTTAAAATGCATGCTCTGAATGAAGAGACTCTCCAAACAGGCTTTGTGTGAGCAACATGGCTGTTTATTCACCTGGGTACAGGTGGGCCGAGTCCA